GGGAAGGGATTTTTACAAGTGACTGCAATGGGCAGTGGGACAACCAGGTGTCAAGTGATGGGTCGGTGGCATGCCTGAAGTCCCCCCCTCCACCTCAATGGAATCTCTGCCCCTGTATTTTATGAGGTGCCTCAATTCACCTCTTATTACTGTAATTCTCTTTTATAATGTTTTTTTAAAAAAAAGAAAAAGAGATTTGGCCTAGGGTGAGAGAAGATGGGAGATACGGCCTCTGTGAGAAAATTCACAGTGCCAGATCACACATAGCTGTCAAGTCATTAGCCACTAATTTTCACTGTACTGTGGGTCTTTTCCCCCCCAACCCTTCAGTGAGCAGTTCCTCATGCATATTAGAGTAGTAAGGCCATGAAATGTTTTAGTGACAACATGGGTTACAGGGATTTCACTGTAGGTCAGAAGGACAGTGTATGCTACACTGAATGTGGGTCCCATGATCAGCGCTTAATGTTTCCTCTTTCTAACTGACTATGGTATCTTCAGGATCCTCCTGTGCTTTTCTTTCTAAGGTGCCCTTTTTTGTTGTCTCTGCCTACTGTGCAACTCCAATAGTCCTACAACTGTGGAAAGACCATGATGCAACATGAAACCAAAGATCACTGCAACAGAGTGTTTTTTCAGTAAGTCCCACCCAACACATTTTCCATATTTTTGTGTTAGTAACTACTGAATAGCTAATTTTAGGTAAACAGTGTTCTGTACTATCATGCTGGCCACATGCTGGTCTGTGACAATGCTGGTTCTTTAGCTTAGTAACGGAGATGAGCATCACCCCCTATGGTCAGAATCAGACATGACTTGACAACCTTCTCAAAGGGAAATACCTTTACCTTTGGAAATAACTGACCCTGATGCTTGTATGGCAGGGTAGAGAACACTTCCCTGGCCTTATCATTCAGTGAGAAGATATATTGAAACGATCATCCAGTGCTCTTCCTAAGCCAGTGTCAGTACAGGATAGGCAGTCTAAACATTACTGGTAGAGTACTCAGCTCTTCTCAACTGCTGTTATTAACTGCCCTTAAGTCAACCCTGACTCATGGCAACCCTGTGGATGAGACATCTCCAAGACCTCTTATCCTCCACTACTATGCTTAGTTCCTGCAAATCCATGCCAGTGATCACTCTGGTTGTGTCTATCCATCCGGCATGCGGTCCTCATCTCTTTCTAATTCCTTCTACCCTTCCTAGCATTATTATCTTTTCCAATGAGTCATGTCTTTTCATGATGTGGCCAAAGTAAGACAGCCTTAGATCATCTTGGCTTCCAAGGAGATTTCAGGCTTGATGTGTTCAAGGACAGATTTGTTTGTCCTTTTGGCTGTCCACAGTATCCTCAGCACTCTTCTCCAGCACCATCTCTCAAATGAGTTGATACTCTTCCTATCCATTTTCTCATTGTCCAGCTTTTGCATCCATACGTGGTGATGGGGAATATGATGGCTTGGACAATTCTAACTTTAGTGTTCATTTGTATATCTTTACTCTTTGGGATCTCGTCTAGTTCTTTCATAGCCCTTCCCATTCCTAGTCCTTTTCTGATTTCTTGACTGCATTCTCCATTTTGATCAATGTTTGCTCTTAGGTAAGGCAGGCAAAATGGGAAACACTCTGGCTGACTACTGAATAGTAACCTTGGGGCTTGAACACTAGCTCCTTTTTCCAGAGTAGTTCTGACTTGGATCAATCAAAAGATAAGTGTCTGTGTGCTCTACTTCAGATAGGATGAATTTTTTAGTTATACCTAGTGCTAAACTATTTATTCCAAGGTTGTCTTCATGGCTTTAATGAACAGCTGGTCTCATGGTTAAGCAGGAAATGTAAATTCTGGTCTCCCTAGTCATGATCCAGCATGGACTCTTGAGTACCATAGTTAGTCACACTGTAGTATTCTAGAGTAAGCTTTGTTTCAGGGTTGCAGAACTGCTCCCATCATCCCTTATCACTGGTCAGTTTGAGTCCAACATCTTTAAAATCATATAGTCACTTTGTTTAGCCGTCATTACACAGCCTAACCTACCTTACAAATTTGCTTGTGGGGGTAATAGAAATGTATTCCTTCAACTACTTGAAATCAGGACAGGATAAATATATAAAACCCAAGGGCAAATCAGTATTATTGGGAGAAAAGCAGTGGATTGGCAAGGTTTTCCATCACCCAATAATTCAAAAATAACAAGTAAAATTTAAGGTAATCTCTCTCTCTCTGGTAGCTTGTTTGGCTTTGTGTTGATCAGCCTCAAAGTGTATCTACACTGCACAGTTATGCTAGCTTGATACTGCTTTAGCTGTTATGGCTTCATCCTATGGAATCCTATAACATGTAATTTGGTGAAATGTTTAGAATTCTTTCATAAGGAGCGCTAATGTTCACGTTTTAGCAACATGTACCATACCTCTCTGGCAGAGAATTCCAAGTACCTCATCTACACCTGTTGAGTAGGTTATAGGTAGATAATTCACCAGATACTTGTGTAATTCTGCTGAGCACCTTCAGTTTGTATTGTTCTGTTAGGATCCTTGGTCTATAGCAACTCAGGTGTAAATTTCTTAGTATGTGTGGAGAGAGAGATAAAGAGGGAACTCATGGGATGCTGTCATTTATTGTCTTCATCTCCCCCCCCCCCCCCCCCCCCATTCCACTTACTTAGCTCTGGTGAATGAACTATGGGTTTTGAATAAAATAATAAACAGTCAAAGTAGAACCTAGAAATCTGACGTTGGCCAAGCCTTGACCTCTGAAAGCCTGGCCTGTATAGCATTGGGGTAATGGCTTAGATCAGGCCTGCACAACATACATCTCGAGGGCCGCATGCAGTCCACCAAACAATCTCTAGTAGCTACAAGGAGGTGAGACAACTTCCTGTGGGATGCATAGTAACTAGCTGGTAACAAGTAACCAACTTTTGGGGTAAGTCTCTGCTGCAGCCTAGCCTTAGTCCCAAGCTCTCCTTCACCATCCTTCCAATGCCAATGCTGCTAAAAAAAACTTCCAGCTAAATGGAGGATGAGGAGGGAGAAATAGAACTAGGCAGGCATTTAAAAATCCTTGTAAAAGGAACTTTGCCATCAGAAGCCTTGTATTTGAAAAATTCCCCAATTTAAAAAGCCATTTGTAGTAATCTACTTTAATTCCCTACTATCTGTACTACTATGTGCCCATGTGAAGAAGAAGTGGACACACTTTAATTCATTGTTCCTTTTATTGTGATATTTGCAGCATTTTAATCACTCTTATTCTCTAAAAGATCCCTGGTAAATCATACAAATACTATTTTTATTCCCTTCCTTTCCGAATCAAAATTCCCTGGTTAAAGATGAAGTATCCAGATTCTATCCAACCACTTGTGCCTGCTATAGACACTTGATAACTAGGTAATGATCAACCCAAACCAATGAACACGTAGAAGATATTTTTGAAAACATCCATTTCAAACATGATTCCAGAGTATGATAAACTAATTGCTGACAAGAAGTGTAATATATCTCATTAACTACATGTTGTAAACAGTAAGAAAACATTAAAAGTGTATTAAAACTTGTACCACTTAGCAAAGTAATTTTTTAAACGTTAATGTAATTTCATAAGTAAAAATCTTAATATGTGTAATTAACTGATGGTAATTGAAATGTCCATTTTTTATAATATGGCTTATTTGCAAAATAGCTTAATCATTAATTCTCCCTTTACTTGAAAAGTGAGCCGCTAAAAACCTGCCTGAGGTCCGAAAAATGTTAGCCTATTTTAATTTTGGCCATTACCTACTTCCAAGTTGTTCAGGTCTAGCTTAGATTATGACTATGCTCTCATAGAGGTAACCAAGATTCCACAGATTATCCTGCTGATGGAAGCGGAGGGCAGCCATTTCCCTCTGCCATTTTGCCATGGCATTGTGCAGTGCCCCCCGACTCTTGTCCAGAGGGTCCTCCAGCCATCCATAGCAAATTCTTCAGGGGTTACAAGGAGATCTAGGAGCAAAGGGCAGTGATAGTCACATCACTTCTGTTGGCAAGAGCATCTTGTAAGCAGAACAGGATAAGCTCAGGGAACACAAACATAGGATTCCAGCCACTGTGTGTAATTTAACACTAGAGTAGAGAGCCACTGGGTGACCTTGGACATGTCACATGTTCTCAGCTTCAGGGGAAGGCAATGGTAAACCACCTCTGAACAAATCTTGCTGAGAAAACCCCATGATAGGTTCACCTTAAGGTCCCCATAAGTCAGAAGCAACTTGAAGACACGCAACAACAGAGATCTATTCTACTGACACCACAGCAAGACAATTCCTCGAAGGGTTTTGCATTGGCATTGTAGAAACCTCCAATTAAGTAATAGACCATGGATCAATGTCAGGGTTGGCCACTTGCAGTAGGGCCACCATCAAGAGCCCTGGTCCTGCTGATGCTAATGTATTCACTGCTGTTACCTAGTGGTTGTGAATCTACTCTGGATTTTTTCCTGAAACGTTAAAGAAGCAATCCAAGTTCCTCAACCCCAATAAAGAAATAGGTTAAGTATTTTGGAAAATGCCTTTAAACCTTAAAGTTAAGAACTTTAAGACCCAGATTGGATTCAGCCTCTCCCCCTCCAACATGTTGCATCAGCCACCATGTCTGCCACCTCCTTATGTGTTCACCTATAGCTCAGAGGTGGTAAATGAACAAGTAGTGATGAAGGGGAAAAGCAGTGACTGCTCATCTGTTTGTTGGGTGACGGGTAGAAAAGTGATCTTTCCAGATGTTCCATGCTTCGCCATCTCCCAGACCACCTCCCACACTGTTCTGGACATAGGGTACCTCAACCCTTCACAGCAGATGTGAGGGCTAGGGGACTAAGGGATTGTATGGTGGGAAAAGCACTGAGGATTCTTTCCTTCCATGTTCCTCCTTTCCATTTGTAGACCCTCATAAATTATTCTGAAGTCTCAGCTTGAATTTTCTTGTGTTGTGAAACAGTCCAGAGTTTTAATACATTGACAGCCAGCGTAACATAGTGGTTTGAGTGTCGGACTGCAAATCTGGAGACAAGGGTTCGATTCCCAGCTCAGCCATGAAATCCACGGGGTAACTCACACTGTCTCAGCTTCAGGGGAAGGCAATGACAAACCTCTGGGGGGAAAAAAAATCTTCCCAACAAAACCCCATGATAGGGTCACCATTAGTCAGAAACCACTTGAAGGCACATAACAACAGCAACAGTCACATTAGAAAAACATATAGCAAGTTGATTTCTAAATGTATACAAAGGAAAATCTCACCTGTAATTGTACTGATGTTACCAAACTGGGGAACTTGAAGTTCAGAATAGCAGCCTTATGAATTGTGAACTTCAAATGTATGGTTTGTAAACTTTTAAAAAAACTAACAAACCTAAAGTTTATGGGTAATGGTAGGTCAGTCACATCTCTGTCTTCTACTTGCTGAATTGGTAACACAATATTGGTCAGGGCCTTCATGAGCCCATTTATCTGTCCTATAATGGTTTGAAGTGTTGGACTAGGAATCTCGGAAACTAGAGTTCAAACCCCCACTTGGCTATGGAAACCCATTGGGTGACCCTGAAAGGAAGGCAAAGGCAAATCCCCTCTGAACAAATCTTGCCAAGAAAA